CATACACAGTTTAACTACAGGAAAGTCTTGATTTTACATTTCTCAATGCAGTGGACTTTGGATATAAAAGACAGAATCAGAATTTCAGGTAATAATAGACTTTCTCCCAGTGATGATCTAAAACGATTGTTTTAGATCATCACTTAACGATTCAGCCCAGACAATTTTTATACATTTTACATACATTTGATATTATTATGCACATTTATCTAGATTTTACACGCTATGTACATTTAATACATGCTCAACATTCCATCCATCTTTTATTCACTCACCTCTATCATACAATCCTTCCTCCTGGCTAAGGTCAAGAATTTACAGTATTAGCAAAACAACTGCTGGATTGTGAGATGCTCATTATTTTGATTTATATGCTGTCTAATGTATAGTATATAGTCTGGTTTAAAAAATGGTCCTTTTTTGACATAGCTTAAAGCTGGCTTATAACCATACCTGTTTGAAGGCTATTAACCACTGTTCCCTTTTCAGACATAATAAAAAGCTAATGTTCAAGGACAATTTGTCAACTTGTTTTTTTCCCTTATGAAAGAAAGAGGTATGGATGGCACAAAGGTGCCTATTATTTGTACATATTCTGGTACATTGATGCGGAGTGTGGTTTTTCGAATACTTCAGGATGTGATAAAACCCCTGGTTCTTGAATTAGAGAAGACAAGAATCCTAATGGAATACTCCTATATTAATAAAACGATCTATTACATAAATGATTTCCAATCTATTCATCTTTCAGTCTGCTGTGGAGGTGGGGAAGAGCTCTGATAGAGAAACACTCCCCTGCACTTCATAACAAAGTACCACTTCAAATAACCTCAACAAGGATATTAAAGACAATTGCTAGGCAATCTTAGTATTCTAACATACACTACACATCCATCAAGCTATTTCCTTTCAAAGTACCGACATCATTCACTCTGCATACTTTTTTTTCCTTGCAACCCATCCTTGCCTTTATCATGTTCATATTCCACTTCATATATTGCTTTTTGTCCTTTAAACCTCATCCTTCTTTCTTCCAGGATTTCATCAGCTCCACACAATCATAAGGTACTTGATCCTTGCCTTCTTGTCAATACATTTGTCTATTTAATATATTTGATTGTGATTTGATTCTCATTCACTCTCTCTGTATGACCAAATCTCCAACTACCTCTTTTGTACTAGTAATTCACTTTTGTATTTAATCCACATTCATTCATTCAGCACTTAAATCATTCTTGACCTGACCTGTTTTTGTCTTATCACAAACTTAAGTACTTTATCCCTATTGCATTCAATTTACTTTTATATTTACCCTGCCATAGCCAATGCTCATTCTCCATATAACAAAGTGAGCAGAAGCACACTTTTATACACATTTTTTGCTTCTGTTGGCAAACACTAAGACTTCATAAGATGGCTGCTCATGTGTACATCTATGCATAATTTATCCATTTCTTTTCTATCATGGTAGGTGACAAATTCAAGTAATAAACGCAAGCATTCCTTGTACAAAAGGGATGTATCTGCCATACAGCTTCAGGATATATGCATTTATTGTTTGTTACATATCCACTTCCTATCAAAATCATTCAAAACTTCCTAAGATAATTTTTTTTTAAATTCAATAAACAAGACATTATAAAAGGCAAGTAAAAGACAAAGTAGGAGATATAAATGTCAATTCATCCAAATTACAGCATTCTGCAGCTCAGAACGCTTGGCAAAATAAAATGCCATTTAAAGAACTCCTTTGGCAGCCATAACAAAAAAAAAAAGGGGGGGGGCAAATCTTATACCATTTCTCAGAACCCCTTCACAGCTCCTTCTTCACAGCTCCTGAAGAAAATCCTATCCTTTTCTCATAGCGCTTTAATATTGCAAGTCAATTAGGACAGGGGTCCACAATCCCCAGGCCTGTTGGGAACCGGGCCACACAAGTGAGCAAAGCTTCATCTGCACATGCACGGGATTTACATAGCGCATGAAACCACCACCACCCCAGGTGTGTGGAAAACAATTTTTTCAATGGAACCGGTCCCTGGTGCCCAAAGGTTGGGGGCCGTTGAATTAGGGTATAATCAAAGTAATTGAAATGTGTAAATTTTAATATTCATTGAAGCAAAGAGATAAAGAACCTTTTCCCAAATTAATTTCCAGAATGGCAGCTATCTTAGTTATTTGCAATGAAGAAAAGAAACAAAATTTCAGCAATAATCTCTTGATCTCACTTGACGAATGCCAAGAAACCAGCTTTTATATAAAGGATTTCTAGTCATATTTCAGTTCCATTCTAACCATAGAACCGTTTGCCCAGTCAAACTTCTAAGAGATTCACACAACTGTAACAGAGAAGCAATTAGGAAAATGAAGAAAAAACAACAACTCATACACCCCAAAACCCCACAAACATAGAATTATCTAGACTTGCTCAGGTGCAAGACTGATTAATTTCTGGCATGTCTTAATGTGATAGATGAATACAATCTTTTCACTTCCCTACTGCTGCACAATGGCCCTGCATCAGTATGGCTGCAATTCTGCTTCTATTTACTGAACTGTTTTTTGTTTTTTGTTTTTGTTTTTTTGTTTTTTTAATTTTGGCTTAGTTATATTTAAGGCAACATAAACAAGTTTGTTCTTTACTTCACAAAGTTCACTATAACAAAATCTTTTTGAGAACATCAGCTGTATACTATTTCTGTGCTATCCCAATTAGCACATATACTAATTTACAGATGCAAATTTCACATGACCTGAAAAGACTCCTACAATAGTATAAAAAGAACAATTTTGAAGAAGAGAAGTCCAGTCCTTCAAATATTCACATCTTTGACAGAGCTGGGAGCCATGCCTAAAGTCCTCTGCAGCGCTAGCATTTGACTGAATTTAGAGAGTCCAGTGAGTGTTATGCTTTATTGATTAATATCCCATCTTTCATACAGAAGTTCAAAGTGAAATGCACAGTACTCTATTTTTCTCCACAACAACTATCCTGTAAGGTGAGTTGGACTGGGAAAGGATGTGCAAGTGACCCAAAGTCATCGAGGGAGATTCCATAGCTGACAAAGATAAGAGCTGGGCCTCCCTAAAGCTAGTCCAAACTTTAACTGCTATATCACAATACCATCCTATGTGTCAGCAACCTTTTGATGGCTGAAGGGTGCAGTGAATGGGCCAATAAGACCACATGCCACTTATGGGAGGATCAAGATTTTCTGGATGGATCTTCTTTGGTATGGGAGTTTTTCCTTTTTCAGCCTTTTTTCTTTTTTTAAAAAAAAGTGATCATAAAGTAATTACAGATGCTGTACTTTAGTTTTTGTGTGTTCTCCACCTTACAGTAGCAGGAAATTATGCTTCTGATTTTTAGTGAGAATAACTCAGAAAATCAAAATGGAGATTTGGGAACCACGTGTGCCTCTGAAGCCATAAGCTTCCTGTCCCGATGTACACCATAGCTAATTTTCCTATGGTTGCATAGCAATCAATCAATCAATAATGAGAGGGAGGGAGGGAGGGAGGGAGGGAGGGAAAGAAAGAGAGAAAGAAAGAAAGAAAGAAAGAAAGAAAGAAAGAAAGAAAGAAAGAAAGAAAGAAAGAAAGAAAGAAAGAAAGAAGCATTTAGGAAGCATAGACAAGTACCATCAAAATAACATACTTAAGTAATATACAGCCATCGTTTACCATCTTATTTTCTATGAAATTGCTGTTTATTTTAAAAACCAGGTACAGCTAATCCTTGACTTACAACCATAGCAGATTCCATTACTGTTATAACTCAAGGACTACAGTATCCTTATGTGTAAAGTAAAAATATTTTACTTTCAGCTGCTTTGCAATTCACTTTATCTAGCTGAGACATTTCAGATGCTTTCTACAATATATCTAGTTGCCAGAACAAATTTCTATGAATGTGTCTCATCTACTAATGTAACTGAATCTGCAGAAGCTTATTCTGACTGCTGGAAATGTCGAGACAGAATTCTGAAGCAGTAGAAAATGAAACAATGCAGATGGAGAGTGCAATTGATCTGAAATGGTCTTTTGCTCAAATCTCTGAAGCCAAACTCCTCCTAAACCCATAAACAGTTCTAGAAAATGCCCTTTTCCTGTGCTGAGAAAAAAGACTTAAAATCAGCAGATGATATTGCCATTAATGATCAATTCTACAGCCTGGAAAACCTGTGGTTAATTTCCATCCAGCTTCAATGATCTTAAAAGCCTGTCCATAACTTTGTGCAATTTTGGTACTAAAGTTAGCTTATGATGCTATTTTTACAGACAAACATGGTTTCCTTTGAAATAAAATTAAGTATGGCTTATTTTTCCCAAATAAAAAGCAGCATTAATTTTAGAAAAGGATATTAAATAGACTTCCAATCATAGTTTGACATTCAGGGACTTTTTCAACTGTTAACCATAGCTTTCAAGTACATACAAAACACAGGAATTATAGTTAAATCCTTCGTGATTGGCTTTTTCCCCTTTATACAGGAGCTGCACTAGTAGTACAACTTATTACACACAGATATGATTCTAAACCAGATCCAGGAATTGCAATACTAATTTCTACATTCTAGATTGCTTTTGTGGTCCTTCCCATCACTTCACTTCATTTATGCAAGGCAATATTTGCTTCAAATTTCTAGTGTGCAATGATAAAGATAAAAGGTCAATACTAAAAGAAGACACAAGTAGCAAATAACCTATTCTTAATATATATAAAATGTCCATGGTATATTCTTGTTTCTTTTAAAGTTAATTCAGATTTGGATTGTGACAAGTAATCCTCTTTCTAATCACGTTTATTACACATGTGATGAATAAAAAAAAGTTAAGAGAGCAATCCTGCATGTGTCTATTTAGAAATAAGCATCATTGTGTCACAGGGTGCATATGAAATACATTTGGAGGCATTTCATGTTATTCTTTAACTATTTATATAATAAAAAGCAGTATGGAAAAGAAAAGTAAATAAAACAGAAACAAGAGTAACTTACATTTTGCTTCTGAAATATTCTGATTGGGTGACCAGACCAGCATACCGAGATTCTCTCTCTCCTGAGATCGCTTGGTAAGTTTAGCTGACAAGAAAATAAATATAAAATGTGTTAAAGGAAAACTTCCCCATGTTAATGCTGATCTCTTCAAAGCACACAACAAAAGAAACAGGAATAGAAAAATCTAAAATGCTGAAACACAAATGTACCAGTTCTGCAACATTTGAGACCCAAAGCATCCTTCTATTCACACAAATAATCAAAATGTGTCTCAACAGTATTTTGGAAAAACAATTGAAAATGATAAAAAGGGGAAATGTTTTGTTTTAAGTTTGTGCATTTTTCTTTTCTGACATTGTATGGGGATATCCCAAAGACCCTGTCTGTTAAATTGCAGGTATACAGCAAAGGCTGCTATTTTATTCGTCCTGCACTGCTGGCCAAGAGGAAAACAGAAAGCCAGCAAAGACAATGCTGCCTGCATCGTGTCAGCACAAACAGCCAGATCAGTTATTAATACTGGCAGCACCAGCCATCACAAGTATAGAGATATTCAGGAAACTGCCTTACACTAAGTCAATCTCCTTGTTTACCTAACAGAATATTTTGAACTACATTCTTGTTAAACACTCCCCTTTTTAAGAAATTATAAATCATCTCCTTGTTGTTTGAAGGCAGAATATGATGAAATGTACATATATTCAAATGGTAAGGAATATCCATGACAAATTTCAGACAATTTGAAAAGTATCTGTACAAAGGGAACAGGTAGTTCTGCCCCTTCCTGCATGTGGAGGAACAAACAGTGGAGAACATTAGCATATTCACTAACTCAGGAGTGTCAAACTGCTGGCCCACAGGATGGACGCATCATGATGAAACTGCGCCCACTCCATTGCCAGCAATGGGGAAAAAGCTCTGATACGTCACGCAAGTTTGACACGTCTGCACTAACTGATCTGTTTGTGTAGTACATTCACTAATGGGAGGGAGGGAGGGAGGGAGGGAGGGAGGGAGGGAGGGAAGGAAGGAAGGAAGGAAGGAAGGAAGGAAGGAAGGAAGGAAGGAAGGAAGGAAGGAAGGAAGGAAGGACGGAAGGAAGGAATCACATGGGGCAGAGGTCCCCAACCTTTTGGGCAGCAGAGACCGATTACCTGGAAAGAGGTTTTTCCATGGACCGGAGGGGGTGTGGTTTTGTGTGCTGCCTGCATCCCGTGGATCGGGCTTTGCTTGTCTGTGCGGACTGGTTGCTGGCATGCTGCAGACTGGTACTGGTCCATGGACCAGGGGTTGGGGACCCCTGATACAGGGAGCACAGCTAATAGACTGTATGGAACTGCTGGGGCAGCGCTTTGGAATCAATCCCCAAAAAGTGCTTTGGAGCACATGAGAGTACAAACTAGGTCCTCTCTCCTGCACGTTAAAGCAGTTTTATTTTTTTCCCAAGACCACATGAAGCCCTATGCAACCCCAAGAAAGGGAGGGGCTGCTTTAAAGTATTGCAAACAAGAACTATGTTCATGCTCCTGTAAGTTTTGAAGCATCAACAAGTAGCCCTCAATTTAAAATGGCAACTGGGACCAGAATTTCCATTGCTAAGCAACTGGTGGTAAAGCATGAACTACTTTGCTTAGCAAAGGCAATCCCTGCAGTCCCAATGACCATTGTTAACTGAATCCCACAGCTGTTTGGCAGCACAACTTCATTCTGGCTTCTCACAACCAAAATCAGTAGAAAAGCCAGCAGAATCTCACCAATCCCAGGCCCACAAGTAGGGGAGGGAGTAATAGGTTGGGTAGAGGTGAAGAGAGGATCAGAGAAGGTAAGGAGAGGTAAGATATAACATGAATCCAGGTTTTTGGTAAATTCAGTACAGACCTTTCAAAGAAATACATATTCTGAAGTCTGGGCCCTAATTTATTAGCAATAGTTAAAGGGAAGCATTATAGAAGAAGAAAAGGGGAACAAAACCCTGAAGCAATAGAAAATATACTACCTCCCACTGTGGCTCAGATTATTTTTCCCCCAAACACAAAGAGTTGCTAGCTCAGTCTCATTTTCTGAATTTGAAATAATATCACTATAGGACTGCTAGCACTTTATTTTTACCTTTGCATGTAGAGATAGTCCTTGACTTACAAAAATTCATTTAGTGACCATTCAAAGTTACAACGGCACTAAAAAAAGTGACTTATGACCTTTTTTCACACAACCATTGCAGCACCCCCATAGTCACATGGTCAAAATATATACGTGACTGACTCATATTTACGACAGTTGCAGTGTCCCATGGTCATGTGATCCCCTTTTGCAGCTTTTGGAGAAGGAAAGTCAATGGGGAAGTCAGATTCACTTAACAACCAGTTTACTAACTTGAGAACTGCAGGGATTCACTTAACAACAGTGGCAAGAAAGTTCATAAAATGGAGCAAAATTCACTCAACAAATTTGTCACTTAGCAACATAAATTTTGAGCTCAATTGTGGTTATAAAGTCGACGACTACCTATATTAGCTGACTTCTTGATGTACCAAATTTAAACAAAAAGACTATTTCAGCACTGGGTTTTTTTGTTTTTTGAGAAAAGAACAAGAAAAGGTTTATGGAAGGAATTCTCAAATTCACAAACATTATAAATCTTTGAGATCACATTCCAACCATAAACTAGTAATTTCACTGGGCTAATAATTGGGCAAGAAATACACTGCTTATTGTAATAGTTTTGTTTCATTTAATTACTTTGGCTTTATTTATTATTTGCTTTATTATTTATTCATTTATTATTATTTAATTATTAAATCAAATAGTGAAAACAATCAAATCAAATAAGACAATGATCAAACTCTATAACTCTATGCAGCAAAACTGTTTTCATTGGAAATATGGAAAAAACAAAACCAATTTAAAACTATTTTAACCATTTTAAATCAAAAGGATGAATGCACTTACTTTTGCCTAATTCCTAAAAGTTAGATTTTATGTTCCAAACAACCATTCATTCCCTAAGAAAGTCGGGGGGGGGGGAAGGGACTTTCGTTTTATATAGGTTGTTTTGGATGCAGTAAGTGTTCCTTGCCTTAAGTCAGTTTCTCCTAAACAGTTCTTAAAATGCAACAGCTTGCAAAACGTTGGGAGGTTGTAAGTTTCTTAGACATCTTTCCCAACAGTGCAATAATAATATAGCACCATCATTCCACGTCCTTGATATATGCTTGTTGCTTGTTAATCCTTTACTCCACTCTTAAAACATTCCTCCTTGTTGAAACTTCACAAGCCCTCCTTACAAGCCCTCCTCTTTTCACCTCAGCAATTATTCCCTAGGCAAAATAGGTTGTTAGCTCAAAAGGTCAAAAGTTTGTACAAGAGCCTAGTATTCTCCAGGAATGATTATTTCTCCACTGAAAAACAAAGATAATGTATTAAAATGAATAAAAAGAACACTCAGGCTAAAGCTTTGGAAAGATATGGATACTATGCATTCAACATTTTTGCATCAAACTGGCAAGCCTGCCAAAGAGAGGCCTTCAGAATAAGGTGCTCTCATGGGATAAGACTCCCTCCCAAAACCCTTACAAGACCCAACACCAAAGTTTTTGGAGAAGCATTGTCTTAGATCAGCAGTTCTCAACATGTGGGTCGCAACCCCATTTGGGGTCGAACGACCATTTCACGGGGATCGCCAAACAACGCAGTCCGCCATTTTTTCCCCCTTTTCCTTAGCTGTGCTACTCCCTTTTATTCTATTGGCTTTTGAAAGCCAGTAGAATAAAGAACAGAGGATGGAAATACTTTCCTTCTCCAGGCTTCTATTTTTAGATAAGGATCAAGAACTTAGAACAATTGATTGGGAAAGATGCCTTGAAATATACCAATCTGGCAGCTATCAGGTTGAATTACAACTCCTATTTAGTACAAAAAACAAAACTGGCATAAGTCAAGCAGAAATCGAAAAGGAAAGATGGTACAGAGACAATCAAATGGCAGCTGAAGAGCAGAGGCAGAGAGTTGAAACAGTTTGAATTCAAGAAGTGGTCTCAGAAGGATTTTAAAGAGAACGCCTTGACTTGGCTGAAAGAAAAGGGGAGGCTGTTCCAAATATAGGAAATTGTCAGGCCCAACAAACTAAGCAACATAAAATTTCAGTAGTGGAGACCTGCACCAGAGAAATTTATACAGAAGAAATGGTTCAAGGGAAGCAATCAAGAGAAAAAACTGCAACTTTTAAATAAGGAAAATAGTACTGCATATTTCCAAGAACTAAAAGACACCGTGTTATATACTTAATCATTATGAAATCAGCAGATTTACAGAATTCATCAACAAGTAGTTGGTTGACTGAACAGTCTCTTGCATAAATAACCACACAGCTCTAATCAATATACAACTACTGTAAATATTAACATTCTAAAATAATAATATAAGGAGGAGAAGGAAGAAAGATATTTAATATATTAAAGTCAGGGACCAAATAAATAGCAATTCAAAATTTTCGCCTACAAACCTTTCAAGAAAATGCTCGCCAGTTTTCAGAAGATTTAAAACAACATACAGAAAATAATTAAACTGAAAAGATATGAGATGGGTGGCTGCACAAATATAATAAATAAATTTGCCCCATGGATACGTAATAAGAGTCTAAAACAAAAACAAGGTTTTCTGCAATAAAAAAGTTTTTGGAACTTATTTGAAAATGGAAAAGGAAGCAACTTTTAAGCCACTTCTAAAAGCTTTTATTATGTTACCACCAGTGAAAAGATCACTTCCTTTCATACATCCCTTTGATAAATCAATCATGCAGGAATTCTTAGACTGTGGTTGTGTCCACCTAGTTCACAAGCAAATTTGAAGGGAGTAAAAGCTGATCAGTTAAAGCAGAAACACTATCAAAAACTTGTTCCTGATCTGCCTGGACAAGTTCACAGCTAATTTTAAGCAATGATTAAACATGGGTATCTAAGCCATCTTTCAAAATCCTCAGTCAATTATATAAGCTTTATGTATTATTTATTGAGGTATTTTAATATTTTTTTATTATGAGTGGGGTTACATAAATCCATTTATCATATTAGAGGTCACAAACTTAC